TTCAGTCTTTGAATATAACCTTTTATTATGTTATCCTGGTTTCATGTTTAAGACATATTTGTTTGTGTGTATCCTGCCGAAGAAATTTGTCGTTGAGAATGTATGTTATTAATACAAACTTTCAATATGTCCTGATATAATATTTGTTATCAATACTAATATATACTTTCGGTATGTCCTGATGTACTATTTGTTATCAATACTAATATATACTTTCGGTATGTCCTGATATACTATTTGCTATCAATACTAACATATACTTTCGATATGTCCTGATATAATATTTGTTATCAATACTAATATATACTTTCGGGATGTCCTGATGTACTATTTGTTATCAATACTAATATATACTTTCGATATGTCCTGATATATTATTTGTTATCAATACTAATATATACTTTCGATATGTCCTGATATACTATTTGTTATCAATACTAATATATACTTTCGATATGTCCTGATGTACTATTTGTTATCAGTACTAATATATACTTTCGATATGTCCTGATATATTATTTGTTATCAATACTAATATATACTTTCGATATGTCCTGATATACTATTTGTTATCAATACTAATATATACTGTCGATATATTCTGATATACTATTTATTATCAATACTCATATATACTTTCGATATGTCCTGATATACTATTTGTTATCAATACTAATATATACTTCCGATATGTCCTGAGATACTATTTATTATCAATACTAATATATACTTCCGATATGTCCTGATATACTATTTATTATCAATACTAATACATACTGTCGATATATTCTGATATACTATTTATTATCAATACTCATATATACTGTCGATATATTCTGATATACTATTTATTATCAATACTCATATATACTTTCGATATGTCCTGATATAATATTTGTTATCAATACTAATATATACTTCCGATATGTCCTGATATACTATTTATTATCAATACTAATATATACTTCCGATATGTCCTGATATACTATTTATTATCAATACTAATATATACTTCCGATATGTCCTGATATACTATTTATTATCAATACTAATATATACTTCCGATATGTCCTGATATACTATTTATTATCAATACTAATATATACTTCCGATATGTCCTGATATATTATTCATTATCATTTCTTGCAGAAACGTTTCTAAAATGCATTCCAAAAAACAAAAAATTCGCAATTAGATATTCACTTTGTTCAAGTGTTGAAACACGTCATATAAAATATTAAAAAGGAAACAAACCAGAGATGTTGAAACATGTCGATACTTTGAATGCTCTGAATTCATGTGGTATAACTTTCTCCCCCTTTATTGTTTGATATTAATTTTAGCATAAAATAGTTTTTTGTAAGAGTATTGAAATAAGTAAATATGTATATTTTAATTTGCAAAATTATACAAATGATGTATCGAAGGCGACTCTTTAATTTCAAAATGTTTGTAGCTGCTTTTATAAATGAACCCTGAAACAACAAACCAATTTACTAAAAACAGTATTCTCTTTTTGTATTTAAACTATTCAAAGCTTATAATAGCTTTCCCGCTTTAAAACATGAAAAATTAAAACGCAATATAACAAATATATAAATAATATGCTTATGTTTGTTATATTACGTTTATAGGGTACGCAGCTGAAGTGCTTACACCCACTACCAACTCCTACTGGCTTTCACTGTTTGTGGGAAGGCAGTTACCCATAAAATTTGTATCAGAATTTTAAGGATAACTGCCTTCCCACAACTGGCTGCAGACAGCGAAAGGCAGTAGGAGTTGGTTGTGGGTGTAAGCACTTCAGCTGCGTACCCTTAATTGATTTTCCATGACAGCTAGCAAGTTTAACATCAGTGTTTGGATTTTGTCTGATAGATGACATATCCCAAACCGCATTTTAGTTGCTATTACCATAGGCATTATCCGTTATCACATCAAACTGACAACTAGTACCGAGAACGGCAAGTAACTACTTAATTCTTCTATAATACTTGTTTATATATATATATATATATATTTACGTGTATACGAGTACAGAGAGGTTTAACGCAAAGTAATGAAAATAATATTACGAAAGTATTAAGAACAATTAGCTCCCCAGGTACTTTCGTTGAATTATGTTAAAACCAAACTCTCAATTAATTATACTTATAGCTATTTTATTTACATAATAATTCTCTTAAAAAGAATGGATGCATTAGATTCGTGAATTCTTTTCTTGAATGAGGTAAGCTTATAAACGCTAAGCGATGTGAAAAATAGAAATAAGTACAACTGAACGTTGAGCCCTCTTTGTAATCGTTTATGTGACTTAGCATTTGTTTTCTTCGAGAATTTTTTGTAAACTATATAAAGCTTACGACCTAGTTTCTAAGCCGAGATGCACACTATATCTAGCTGTAAGTTAAATATATAACTAATTAAACCTGTTGTATAATATACTATATGTATTTTAAACTGTTCATGATGTTAGAAAAAAAGTCTTGATAGAAATGAATAAAACCCTATAACCCGAGCGCTTTCGAAAGGTGGATCTTTCCTCTTCAGGGGCAAACTGACTTTTAAACTACTTGTGCTAATTATTTCGACATAGAAACCACGTGATTATATTTTCTGAAAAAAAGAATAAAACTTTAACCTTTCTCGTACTTAACACTGTACATCAATAAATACAATGTATCTATTTCTCGTACTTAACACTGTACATCAATAAATACAATGTATCTATTTCTCGTACTTAACACTGTACATCAATAAATACGATGTATCTATTTCTCGTACTTAACACTGTACATCAATAAATACAATGTATCTATTTCTCGTACTTAACACTGTACATCAATAAATACAATGTATCTATTTCTAGTACTTAACACTGTACATCAATAAATACAATGTATCTATTTCTAGTACTTAACAC